ATAATAAATTATATTTTATAACATATTTTATTATATTTATTTTAATTTTAATTTTTAAAGAACTAATCTTTTGTTTTTGGTTTTTAAAATATTCAACCGAAACCGAACCAAAATTATTTGGTTAATATTAAAATTAAAAAAATAAGAACCAACAACTGTTGAAACCGAATCGAATTCATTTTTTGGTTCGGTTTCGAGTACCCGTCCGTTCGGTTTCAAATGCCCAGCCCGACACGGCTACTCCGACTTGCATAAATTCCCGCACAATGCAACCCCATGACATCTAAACTCTTTCTTATGTTTATCCTCTGAACTCAAAGGCTACCACCAAGATTTCATTTTTCTCTCATTTTTGTCTCATGGAGAAGTTTGTGGTTGCAGGTTTGGCTGATGGAGCCTATGGACAAACTACTCATGGCTGTAAGTATACATATATTTTTTTTACCAGAAACCTAAATTTTTTTTTCTTGATCTCAAATTTTCTGTTCCCTAAAGTAAAATATCTGATGATGCGGAACAAGTTGAGGGTTTTTTTTTTTTTTTTTGAAAAAAGATAATTATAGGGAAAAAAGAGAAATGGGATAGAGAAACATTAATGGTTTATAGACCAACTGTAAATATTTAAGTAATGGATGAAACTTGAACTTTTCCTTAATTTTTTCCAAATATTAAAATTTAAAAATGAAACATTAGACCCAAATGATAGTTCAAGCTAAATTTTATTTTCTTAATCTTGAATTTTCTGTTCCCAAAAACAAAGATCTGATGATGGGGGACAAGTTTGGGGGTATGTGTTTTTTTTTTTTTTTTTGAAAATAGGTAATGAAAGTTTGGGGGTATGTTGGGTTTGGAGATTTAGGATGCGTTTGGAGGATAAGATCTAAATTTACGGTGAGAAGCTCTAAATTTCACAGATCTCGCTGTGTTCGAGGGCTGTTGAAAAGTCGTTTCCGATGAAGATTCATTTTCCTTTTTTTATATATTGGTAGATCAGATTATCACTCGTAAAGGTTGCAAGTTGACGCATTCAATTTCGACTCTCAAGTCTTTTTTTTTTCCTTTTTTTGGTCGAATTTCGAATCTCAAGTTTCCACTCGTAATAGGTTTCTATTTCGAACTTTAATTTTAATTTATATTATAAAAAAATTTTCTTTATTTTTACTTAGAAATCATGTATATATATATATATATATTATCTTGCTTGCATAATGATAATCAATCATTTTCAATCTCTTGTCTCAAGTGACTCAAATTTAAGAACTTTTACTTTTAGCAAAGAAGGAAATCAAAACAGAAATCATATACTTAAATAAAAATGATTACTTACAAATCCTAAATAGTCTAAATAACTAGTCATAACCTTTCTTCTTATTCCTCATCGTTTGACCTTTATGCAGTTGGTAATACTAAGCAATCTCTTGATAATTTTTGGGAGTCCATTCTGTATGGAGAAAACAAGGAGAATTCAAGTGCAATTATGGCACAACCAGAGGCTCCTGTTCCACAAGCTACCCTGGTAGCAAATACTTCAATGACAGATCAAGGTAAGGCTATACATTATTCAGTCAACGTTGAAAATCTTGCATGTGGGCTCAACACATGACTTGCATCCAACTTAAAACCAATTGACAATAGGGTGGAGTAGCCCTCCTTGTATTTAAGGTATTAGATGTGGGATTTTCTCACTTAACAAGCCCTTATAAATGTCGGGTCTTGTCACGTGGGTTAATATGCCCCCTTAAATACAGGTTTGATATCAACATTGGGTCCTTTCAGGTGGGCTAACAACGGGCTTCCCAAGGTAGAACTTGAGCTCTGATATCATGTTGAAAATCTTGCATGTGAGCTCAACACAAGGCTTGCATCCAACCTAAAACCAATTGGCAATAGGTGGAATAGCCTTCCTTTTATTTTTATACTCGATATGAGATTTTCCTACTTAATAGTCAACGTCATTTAAAATGACTCAAACATATTGGATGACACCATTAACATTTTGCAGATAAGGCTATTAAAAGAGCAAGAGATCAGGCTTATCGGGAACGGGTGAAGGTGAAGAAATTAATACGAAGTATTGCTTTATTTATTTTTGTTTAGTTTATAATCACAGCAAGCTTAGGCTTGTTTGTATTCCACGTTCTGCAGAAACGCAAGACAGAAATGGAGGGTGAGGTGAAGGCACTTACTCAAAAGAACAAGGAATTAGAGGATGAGAATAGGGCCTCAAAAGCGGAAAACACACGTCTGAACCAAGCTTTTCAATCTCAGGGAGAGGGGATGGATAAACTTAAACATGATTTCAACCAATTGAAGCATGAGTATAACAAGCAGAATGTGCTTGTGCAGACACTCTCAGGTGTTCTGGTAAGTCTCCATTTGAATTGTTTGTGTGTGTATGTTTATGTGGCAATGCACATGCTTAATTTAGAATAGGTTGAGCCACTTTTTAATTTAAAGTGTGTTTGATTTAGTTTGGTTGATAATATTACCAGAAAAAGGGTTTTTAAGGAAAAGATATTTCGAACAAGTCAAATTTATATTTGAAATAAATAACAAATCAGATAATTAGATATTTTGTTTAAAAAACTGTTCTTGTGAAGTTTTTAAAACAAATTTTGGCAATCATTTATCATGGTATGCATCTCATATAGACTCTATTTATGGTGATATGTCTAAAAATTCATATCGAGCATGTGAGGAAGATGTATTAAGTTGCTAAGTGAAAAAAATTCCACTTCAAAGAATAACAAGAAAATGTGTTTCATAATATTTAAGAATGATTAGTTTATTTATTGACTATCAATTTTAACTTAAATATTCACATTTTATTTCAACTCACATCTCAAATCTTCACGGATGAATCAACTTCAATTTTGGGTTAGGATCTCTGGATATGTCTACCTCCCTTCAGGTAGCAAACTCTTTGTGGGGTGAAATGGTTTTTACCTTGGGTTGTTTATTAATGGTGGCCTGAGTGAGGCCAGCAGTTGCTAAGGAGAGATACAAGAATAAACCTTGTTCTCTATTTGAAAAAGAGAGAAGTCATGTATACATGCATACGATAAGATAGAGATTTACTAACCAATAAAGACATAATCTAGTGGTTAAGAAAGTGGACTTGGTATTTAATTTTAGATTCATGGTTAGAATCCTGTTTAAGGCATATTGCTATCCAATTTATGTAATTAATTTTGTTAGATTTTTTATATGATTGTATTGTGATATATATCTATTTTGTTGGTACGCAATTGTATGGTCGTATATATTTACTTGATTGATATGATGTGACTTTTGTACAGTATTGTAATGAAATTTCAATTCATAAAAAAAAAACAAATACCCTATTTGACTCTTAGTCTATTTGTAAGAAAACTGCTGTATAATTTGGACTATACAAGATTACACAACTAAAACCCTTAGATGAAGGGCGGGATCTTTCATACTGAGGGCCATTTCTTATTAAAAATTTATGTTTTATAGTTCAGTACCGTCCAAACTGCAAAAAATTATTCACTTTATTTATTTTATCTAAGTACTTTGGTGATGTGGAAAAGCTCAGTTAAAAGATTTAGATGCTGCGACTTTGTTAGCTGTTGGTGTATCACTACTAATTAACTTCGCATTGATGTATTTACCTGTGTCATTGATTGTTTCTTGTAGGCTGGTTCTGCTCCCAGTCCCAGAGATGAAGAAATTCAAAAGCTGAAAAATGAAATTGGTTTGTTGAGGCAGGGAATGGGTATGGATAGTCCGTGCTTGCAACTTATGAAAGAGAATGCCAAGTTGAAGCACGAACTTGAGAAGGAGAAGCACGAAAAGAGGGCACTGAAGGTGCAGCTTGATGCTCTATGTGAGAAGATCATTGCAGAGAATCCATCTTTCAT